AAAATATGTTAATTTAGTCTATTTAAATATTAATGTCAGTATGTTTGTATATATAATCTTGTATTGTGATTTTATATAAACTACTAATTTTGATTATCTTTATTTTACTGGAATATACTGGTGTTTTTTTTTGTACCTTGTTAAATTGTCAGTGGAAACCAACTTTCTGATCTTTTTCGTACAATAAAAATACATTGAGTCTTTTAAGTATATAAACAACTGATTAAGAAAGTTTAGCAGATAATATATAATTACGTTGAAGAGGGATGTTTTTAAAACAAAACAAAAATTGACCGGAAAACTTAACATCGAACTAAAGAAAAGAATAGTAATGTGTGTAGTTTGGAGACCTATACTTCATGCCTCTGAAACATGGACATTGAAAAGTGTGAAACTCGAGAGACCACAAGCCTTTGAAATGTGGGTTTAGAGGAAGATTCTAAGAGTAAGATGGGAATACAGAGATTTATGCATATTTTCTAAATGCTGTACATCAAAATTACATCAAAGTTTTGTTTTTCATTTAGAAAAACAAGAAACACGAAAGGCAAAATCCTCTCCAGCATCAGACCCCTCGAAACCAAAGTCAGCAGTTTATTTCTGAAGTTTCCAATAACTTTAATTCTCACTTGGATGATGGTGTTCCAACATAATAAACATGCAGAGAAATATTCACGCCAAAAATGGTCAGCCAAAAAGTTTTTAAACAATTTAAAATATAAATTCTTCTAAATAAAAAAGTATAAAATAAACATGGGCCAGTTGTGTTATTTGCGAAGAGGCAATACCAGTAGCCGGTGAAATACTATCAAACTACAGTATTGATTTTGTTATTTTTATTTTAGAAAAGAACTGTTGCTTGAGTTGCTTTAATATTATTACTGCGCCATGCAAACCTTCAAACAATATCCTTATTTTACTTATTGTAAATGTGCCTCTCATTTTATTCAACTTTACCATTGTTGAATAAATTGAAACTGATTCTCTTCTTTTTTTTCTTTATTCTGCATGATACACAGTATTATGAACTATATAATATATACCTCTCCTATATCTATGTAAATATATGGCTATATACATTTGTTTATACATATAACGGAACAAGCATGAGTTATATATATTAGTTATATTTTAAACCCATATACACATTTATATT